CCTAAAAGAAATGAGAAATTAGTACGATTATATGTGAGAAAACATAGCTACCCATGGATTCTCAAAATCAATATTATTATGCTATGATTACATCATAAATCCGATTGCCGTCGTAACGATACCCAGAGGTTGTAGAAATATACAACTAAGACGAACAGATTCAGCTTAATGAGGGCTTAATAACAAGCTAAATTTAATAGAAATTGGTTTAGTAGAAGTGGAGTTATTCAAGAAATTGTAAAGGAAATTATTTTGAATAAGAATCATGGGAAGATCTTGAGCAGGACTCAATACCAAAAATGCAGCAAAGAAAGTTGAATGAAAACTAATGAGACAGAATACTAATTTCAGATTCTGTGAACCTAAAGGAAATAAAAAATTAGTCGATTATATGTGAGAAAACATAGCTACCGATGGACTCTCAAAATCAATTTTATAATGCTATGATTACATTATAAATCTGATTGCCATCGTAATGATACCCAAAGGTTGTAGAATATACAACCAAGGCAAACAGATTTAGCTCGGTGCGGGCTTCATAACAAGCTAAATTGATAAAAATTAGTTGAGTAGAAGTGGAGTTATTCAAGAAATTGTAAAGGAAATTATTTTTAATAAGGATTATGGGAAGATCTTGAGGAAGGCTTAATACCAAAAATGGAGCAAAGAAAGTTGAATAAAAATTAATGAGACAGAATACTAATTTCAGATTCTGTGAACCTAAAAGAAATAAGAAATTAGTATGATTATATGTGAGAAAACATAGCTACCCATATATTCTCAAAATTAATATTATGATGCTATAATTACATCATAAATCCGATTGCCGTCGTAATGATACCCAGAGGTTATAGAAATATAAAACCAAGGTGACCAGATTCAGCTCGTTGAGGGCTTCAAATCAAGCTAAATTTGATAGAAATTGGATCACAGTAACGGAGGTTAGCCTTGAGAGTAGGATAATTATTATATATATCATCATTTGATTACTACTTCGCAAAATACTTTTAAATTATTATGTAAGAAAATTTACTAGTATTAACCAGTGCTGACATATTATAAGTCTTTAGCAATTGTTTGATAATAGTGTCTTTTGCAAAATGAATAAGATTTTATAGAAAAATAAAGTTTATAATAAAGTGTAAATTACTTAGCTATTTTCTTTTGAAAAACCTTTTTATATATAAACTCCTAAATAAATTTTTTTTTAATATTAAGTACAAAAAATTCTTCGCTATGAAAATCAGAAATACTAATTAAATTACTTTTTAATTTAAATAGCTATTGAAGACTAATTGGAAAAATCTTTGAGATCTTCAAAAACAAGAAAAAATGGAAATGATGATCAACTATCATCGCAAATTAAAGATATTGAAGAAAATAAAAATCTGGATGGAGGTAAGTATATATTATTTTAATATTAAATTAAACAATTTTATTTATTTATTTATTTATAGAATTTTATAACAGATATTTCTTTTATATTTATGTAGCATAGCATTATCACGAAATTGTTCTAATATTTAAAAATCTTAATTCTTATTAAATAAAAATAGATTTATTTTATTTATTTGAAATATGAATTACAAAATGTTTAATTTACAAACAAAATCTACAAAATCTATATAATATTTTGTGAAATCCAACTATATAAGCATAAACATACTCTTACAGTATCTCCAGATAAACGATTTTACAATTTACATAAAATATGACCAGCAATTAAAAAAGTTGTTCACATAGAACTGAACTTGCTTGAATACATAAATACATAAATATTCATGTTATTCATATGCAAGTTTTGATAAATTGATATTCAGTAGAATGAGTTCTCCACCAATCTAAAGTTCTACATCTTCTTCAGCTTCAGCAGAAATCCAATATTTATGAACTTTATCATTCTCATTTATTATATTAGAAGTTGCTCCTTTTAACTTCTTTAAAAAGCTAGAAACTTTTTTTGTTGAAATAATAGGAACACCTTGTTGTTGTTGCTCTAATAGACTTCTAATTGGTGATTGTATTTCATAACTTATCATCTTTGGAAAACAATATTTTTTATATTTAGATCTAAAAAGGCCGCAATATATGAAGTTTCTTCTAATTTATCATAATATTCATTAAATTTTACTAACATTGTTTTGAATACATCATTTAATAAGTAATCATTATCATAATTAATTTCTAAATCTTTTTTAATAGCTAATAATATTACTCTTGAATGTGTAATAATAGAATATTTTTGTGATAAAAGTTCAATGGTTGCTTCATTAAATTGATATAAAAATTGGTCTAAATCACTAAATAATTCCCATTCATATTCACTTGGAAAAATATCTTTTAATTTAGGATGTTTGACTAATAACATTTGTATATTTTCTTTTAAAATACATGCACGATTAATCATTTTAAAGGTTGAATTCCACCTTGTTTTACAATCCATAATCGGACGAAGAAATTGTTTATTATCTAACTTTGCAAGATTTTCTAATTCTTCAAGTAATTTAGTTGATTTTCGAATAGATTTT